CTTTAATCCTTGGTTTACAGGCCTTTCCCTACCCCCAAATCTTCTTGTACTTCACAATGCTGTAGAAAGAATGAGGCTGTTAGTAGGTACCATCCATCATCAAGAGACAGAATTGGTGTCAAAATAATTCTGCAACTGCCAGCAATGACGGTTTGACCCCTGAAGGACAGGGTAACCATATAGAGATACGATTTTCACTTTGATTAGGAATCGTGGTGACTAGACATTTGTTCTTGTCTCACAGTGTGTCCCCGTTTCCCCATCTCCTGTCCTTGTTTGGACAGCCCTTGTCATAGTCTTTCAGTAACCAATTATATCTAGATACAATTTTTTTATTTAAAATTACTTGCATGAATAAATACTACAGAAAGATTAGTAATCACACAAGTGAAAAGGTACATCTAATTTCCCAATTTGCACAATTACATCCAATAATTTACTTCTCTCTTGGCCCTAATCATCACGTTTTACAGTGATACTGATACAGTGATTCATTATCACTTCATGGATGAAGACAAATTATTTGGATGTGTAAGTAAGCCCAGAAGAGAGGCCCAGGTACTATATATAGAAGAAGGTCGCTTAACAGCACCATGTTAAAGAATAGTTCATCTGTGAGATCATGGAATAAATCACTGGAAACATTAGCATGCTCTAGGAAAAAAAAGAAAGAAAGAAAGAAAGAAAGTTTCTGTTATTAAGCTATAAGTTTTTTGCAAAATATCTTTTCCCAGCTGGGACTTGTGGCACCAGCCAAGAGGGAAGAAGCCCAGGTTAGCCTCTCTCTCCCAATTACAACTAGAAACTTTGGAAAAATACAAAAGGAACTACCTCTGGACAAAAGGCCATAGCAGGAGGGTTGGTGAGGAAAGTCAGAACTTGAAGAACAACCAGTGAGGCTGCAAAACCACGGAGGCCAGTTTAAAGTAGGACGTCTTTAAACTGCTGAAAGAAAAGGACAGTCAACTCAGGATCATATAAACAGAGACATCTGCTCTTATTGGGCTTCATTTTGTTACCCCTCACAGATATTGGGGTTCTTGTGTATTTTTCTTTTACAAATTGAAGATTTGTATCAAGCAACTCTATCAGCTCTAGTTTTCCAACAGTGCAGGCTCTTTTCGTGTCTCTGTGCCACATTTTTGTAATTCTCTCAATACTCCAATCTTTTTCATTATTATTATACCTGTTATGATGATCTGTGACCAGTGATTTCCAATGTTACTATTGTGATTGTTTGGGGGTGTCACGTGAACTTCACCCACACAAAATGGTGAACTTAATTGATAAATATGTGTGTTCTGACTGTTTGGATTAACTCTCTCTCTTTCTCCCTTCCCTCCAGCCTCCCTGTATTGAGACAAAATAATATTGAAATGAGGTCGATTAACAACCCTAAGTGTTCAAGTGAAAAGAATGACTGCCCACTTTGCACTTGATCTTAGCCAAAAGGCCGAGAAGCGATGACTGCCCACTTTGAATCAAAAGCTGGAAATGATTACGTTTAGTGATGCAGGCATGTCAAAATCTCGGACAAGCTGAAATCTAGCCCTACTGCATGAAACAGTTAACCAAGTTGTAACTGCAAAGGAAAAATTCTTAAAGAAAATTAGAAGTGTTACTCCAGTGAACATGTAGATGATAAGAAAACAGAACAGTCTTACTGCTGCCATGAGGAAAGTCTGAGTGGGCTGGGCAGAAGTCTATCCAACTACAACATTCCCTTAAGCCAAAACCTAATCCAGAGCAAGGCCCTGCTCCCTTCAATTTTATGAAGGCTGAGAGACGTGAGGAAGCTGCACAAGAAAACTGGAAACTAGCAGAGTCTCCCTAACAGTGCAAGGGGAAGCAGCGAGTGCTGATGGAGAAGCTGGAAAACGCTGTGAAGATCAATGGAGGCTGGCTACACTAAATAGCAGATTTTTAAGGTAGACAAAACAGCCTTCTATTGGAAGAAGATGCCATCTCGGACTTCCACAGCTAGTCAGAGGTCAATGCCTGGCTTTAAAGCAATGCCCTGCTTCAAAGGGCAGGCTGACTTTCTTGTTAGGGGCCAGAACAGCTGGTGGCTTTAAGGTGAAGCCAATGCTTATTTCATGCCCCAAATCTTGGGCCCTGAAGAATTATACTAAATCTACTCTATCTGTGCTCTGTAGATGATACAACTAAAGCTATATGATAGCTCATCTGTTCACAGCATGGTTTACTGAATATTTTCGACCCACTGTTGAGAACTACTCTGGAGAAAAAGAGATACCTTTCAAATTCTAACTGCTCATTACCAACACACCTGGTCACCCAAGAGGTCTGATAGAGATAGGCAAGGAGACTAATGTTGTTTTAATGACTGCTAACATAATATCCATTGTACAGCCCATAGACCAAGGAGTAATTTCAACTTTTAAGTCTTATTACATAAGAAATACATACATTTCATAAGGCTATAGCTGACATAGACGGTGATTTTTTTCTGATGGATCTGAGAAAAGTAAATTAAAAATCTTCTGGAAGGGATTTACCATTCTAGATGCCATTAAGAACATTGGTGATTCGTGGGAGAAATTCAACACAGCAACATTAACAGAAGTTTGGAAGAAGTTCATTACAGCCTGTGAGGATGCCCTTGAAGGGTTCGTGGCATCAGTGGAGGAAATAACAGCAGATGTGGTAGAAATAGCTAGAGAAATAGCTGGAGAACCAGAAATGGCAGTGGAGCCTGAATATCATGACCAAACTTGCATGAAGAGGAGTCACTTCTCAGGGATGAGCAAAAAGAACTGTTCTCTGAGATAGAATCTACTGCTAGTGAAGGTGAGGTAAAACATTGTTAAAAGCACGAACAAGGACTTCGACTATCATAGAAACTTGGCTGATAAAGCCACAGCAAGGTTTGAGAGGACTGACTCCAATTTTGGGAGAAGGCCTTCTGTGGGTAAAATGCTACAAAACAGCATCACACACTGCAGAGAAATCCTTCATGAAGAGAAGAGTCAATGGATGCAGCAACTTCATTATCGTCTTATCTTAAGAAACTGCCACACCCAATCCAATCTCCAGCAGCCATGAACCGGATCGGTCAGCAGCCATCAATGACGAGGCAAGACCCTCCACCAGCAAAAAGATTACAACTCACTGAAGGCTCAGAAGATGGTTGGCATCTTAGCAATCCACTATGTTTTTTGTTACGGTCTGTACGTTGTGTTTTAGGCATAATGCTGCTGCACACTGAATAGACTTCAGAATCACGTAAGCATAACTTTTATACATGTATGCACTGGGAAACCAAAAACTGGTGTGACTTGCTCTATTGCAATATTCCCTTTATTGTGGTGGTCTGAGACCAATCTGCAGTATCTGCAATCTCTCTCTTTTTGCAGTTTTTGGCCGGGGCTGGGTTTTGAACCACCACCTCTGGTATATGGGGCCAGTGTCCTACTCCTTTAAGCCACAGGCGCCGCCCATCTGCAATATCTCTTATGCAACAGAAATGTCTTAGAGGAATGAATGCAAAATAAAAGTCAATTATCAGATAAGGGAAAATAAAGCAATCACACTCCTAAATATCTACCAAATTGAAATGAATTGAAAACCTATATTTAAACAAAAACCTATACATGAATGCTTAACTATGTTAATGATAGCCCCCAACTAGACACAAACAAAAAGTTCCTCAACTGAAGAACACAGAAAATAACTCTGGCACATCCATATAATGAAATACTCTTCAGCAATCAAAGAGAACAGATTATTGATACATCTACCGTGTTTCCCCCAAAAGAAGACACTGTCTTATATTTATTTTTCCTCAAGAAGATACACTAGGGCTTACTTTCAGGGGATGTCTTCCTCTCTGCGCCTAAATGCATGCATAGCCATGCCCATCACTAGGTCTTATTATCAGGGTAGGGCTTATATGTAACAAATGCATAGAAATCCTGCTAGGGTTTATTTTTTGGGTAGGTCTTATTTTCAGGGAAACACAGTAGTACAGCAGACTCTCAAATGCATTATGCTAAGTGAAAGATGCCAGACTCAAAGACTATATACTATAGGATTCAATTTATGTAGCATCTAGAAAAAGCTAAACTAGAAATGGAGAATGGATCAGAGATTGCCAGGGGTTAAAGGTGGGGTAAGGGCTTGACGACATGGATAGCTACAAGGGAACATTGATTTTTTCTGCAGCTGCCATGTGTCTTGAATGTAGTGGGAGTTATATGCCTCTAAGCCAGCGTTCTCAACCTGTGGGTCGTGACCCCTTTGTAACAAGGAAAATAAATCGCAGCATTAGGAAGGTTGAGAACCACTGCTTTAAGCATTAGTTAGAACTCACATAGCCGTAACTACAAGAATGCATTTTACTATCAATTTTGTATATTAAAAACAAATTAAAAGTAGATCATTTGAAATCTTGACACTTTTCTTAAGGAAAGTTTTCAACAATTCAATTATCTAATGGCATGTACTTCCATATTCATAATATCCCCCAAATAAAGGCAAATGATCAGATTTCGATTGAAACCTTTACTTTCACTTGAAAATAAAATAAAATCTATTTGGTCTTTATACACTTTTGAGGAAGTCCAGAAACCTTCACAATGGAATTTTACCATCCATGTCTTCAGTGTATAAGTTTTAATATAAATTTTAAAATTCTTCACAATTATATAAACTTTTCTGATTTCATATCACAAATGTGGTTATATGGACACAAAATTTGTTTCTGATGTAGCATTTAAAATAAATGGACACTATTGTATCATATATCATGCCATAAATGACAGTATCATAAATGTTGTAATATACACACAATTATCAGTATTATTAACAATTATCAGTATTATTATTAAGGGGTAAAAACAAAATCACACAGTTAAACCATAGGCTCAGCCTTGATTCTTCTAACTCTGACCTAAGAGGGTTTTCAAATGCCTGCCATACTGATTTATGCCCTTGGGGACCAGCAGAGTAAAAAAGTTAAAGATTAAATTTTGACATACCCTGTCAAAGAGTGCAAAAAGTTGTCTCAAGACATCTGAAACAGGCAGCTTTAAATACTCGGCAAACTCTTCAATTCCAATTCTTCCTCCTTTTGAGGAACTCGCGATAGAGGCATACTCATCCAAATGCTTGCGAACACCATCCCAATCTAGTCTAAACAAAGAATTATAAATACGTGTTACTAACTCTTCACAGTTCACAGTGTTTTATTAACTTGTTGGAGGGAAAAATATCTGAAGTGTTAAACTTGAAAAGAAGAATGAAAATAGGCACTGGAAAGAACCTATTGAACACGTACACAGTCATCTAGTCTTTTATTTATTTATTTATTTTATTTTTTTTATTGAATGGTAACTATGTACATTAATGTACTTCTGGGGTACAGTGTGGGGTTTTCACATGCAATCTGCAGTCTTTTAAAAGATATAAATATCGGGGAAAAGGGAGGGGGTGAGGGAAAGGAAAAGAAAAAAAAGAAAGAAAAGAAAATAATGATTCTCACATAAATTGGATTTAATTTGGACCAAAGTACATTACTTGAACATTAATTTTTAATTCAACTTGCTAATATGTTGTTTAGGATATTGAATCCTCATTTATAAGTGAAAAATGTAATTTCCCTTTATAATAATATATTTTTTTCCAATTTTAATATCAGGTGTATCCAGATGAAGTAGAATGATTTTGAAGTATTTCTTTTTTTTCTATTATCTATAAGATTTGGCATGATTTGGGGTGGTGCGCCTGCCCCATATACTGGAGGTGGCAGGTTCAAACCTGGCCCGGGCCAAAAACTGCAAAAAAAAAAAAAAAAAAAAAATGGCATGATTTGTTTTTGTTTTTTGAAATAATCTTTTTTTATTTATAAATATTAGTTGTCTATTTTTTGAGACTTTGGAAAAAAATAAGAAGAAGAAGTTAACTGATGACTCTATACTGAACCTCAGAGTCAAAGCATTCTATGATAGACATACTCTAATCTGACAATGTGAATGTTACTTTTTTTGCATTATTATTTTTATTGCTCAATATTTTGTTGTCACAATTGTCTGATTTCTTTTCCAAATGTATTTATCTTCATTCATTCTTTACGAGGTTTTTGTTTCTAGTCCTTATTTTAAACATTGTTATTGTTATTAAATTTTAAGCCTTTTTAATTTTGTGAAGGCAAAAAGTGGAACCCAAATAAACACATGTATATGTATAGAGAAAATAAAAAAAATTGAGACAAAAGATGCATAAAAAAGATATGAATATAACTGATAATTATCCTAAATATCTCAAGGAAAGAAAAGGAAATGAAAAAAAGAACAATGTGGTGGAAGAATGACTGGTGATAAGAAAATAAGGAAGCATATTTTAAACTAGTAAGTTGGTAGTAGTTATTGAGTTGTTACAAAAGAAATTACAATTTTTGTTTTCCAGGCGCTTTCAGGCTGATAATGAATTCATAGTTCACAAAATGCTGTGATAGGGAGATTCGTGATGCACTTCCTCCAATATTAGTTATGAAGAATCAGGGTGATAAAAGAAAACACTGTGAAATACACCGTGGCTTACAGCACATTCTGTTTTTGCCTTGTAGAATTAAATAAGTGACCTAACACGTATTCCTTCTGTGTCCAATTTCAGTGAGTATCTAAACTTTTCAAATCTAGGACATATTATGAACGTAACATCCAAACAAAGGCCAAACATTTTTGTTACCTAGAAGATGTAAGTAATACATAGTATTTTCTATGTCAGTTATCAAAATGTTATATTTTGATATTGAACTTTCACATAGTAACTGGTTCTACAGCTCCTTCCTAGAGAAAATGCCAACTCTACTGAACCCAGAAATTCTGCAAATTCCTAATAGGACAGAGAACAGAATGAACTATAATAAGAGGGGGTTGGAAGGTTACACCTTTTATGCTAGACAGGTAGGCAAGGTTTCATCTATAGTTACAGCTGCTCCCTATCACTGGCATCACTGCCTGTCCCATCAGTGGTGGCATTAGTGGTGTCACACTCACACGAGTGTGACATATACTGTGAATTGTACAGGCAAGGGATCTAGGCTGCTTGTTTCTTATGAGAATCTAATGTCCCTCCCCCCACCCCAATCCAGGGAAAATTGTCCTCCATGAAACTGGTCCCTGGTGCCAAAAGGGTTGGGGGCCACTGTTCTAAATGGTTTAAACTAGATAATGAAAGCACAAAGGAGAGTTTTCACCTTTAAAAAAAGAAATAGGTATCCAGAATAAAAAGGTAGAACAGGGTAAGCATTGAAAATTCAGTGATGGTGGTCAGAACTGCTACTAGACAAGTCAATTTAAGTTTCACACGTTAAATGGTGACCACCACGTGTCAATATCACCTTAAGGAGGCTACCCTTGGAAAAAAAGGTGGCAGGCTGACTCCTCAGAGCCATTTGTGAATAGGGGTGGGGGGGGGGTCTGTGTAGAACCACATAATCATTCCTTGGTCTCCTCCTGTGACTAGTGCGTATCTCCAAGTTAACTGTTCTTGAAAAAACAAAAACAGGATAAAATGGAAGATGAATTTACAACCTTGACTTTCAGAATAAACATCAAGTGGGTCCTCGAGCTGTGCATTAACAAGGCAGGAGAAAATAAACAAATAGGATTTCAAATCCCTTTTCAACAACTCTGTGAATGTACAGGAATTTTAAAATGATACTTACTTCAATTTCCGGCTAATTTTAGTAAATTCCACCAACCCAGCTTCCATAGGCAACGTTAGCTGTCCTGCTGAAATCATCAGTCTGCAGTCTTCATAGGTATGATCTGTTACTGGGATTCCCAGAGCTCTAAACGTATCAAGAAGCAGATTGAAATTCAGCTCTTTTTAAAACAGTCATGATTTTTCGTTAGGCCTGGTTAACAACAGCCAACAAAAAGTATTTACTAGTTTTTAAACCGGCAGCAGCTCTGGCTTTTCTTTTGGAAGAGACATACTGTATTTCTCTTCTTCATGGACTCACTGTGGCCCAAGGTAATCTCCTTATGTCTTCAGGCTTCTGTCTCTATCGCTGATAATTTTTGTTTCGTGTTTTAACGATAATAATAGTTGACTTGACCTTCATAAAAAGTAATTAGGAGACTTAAGTTCAAGTCGAGCAGAATCTTTCCCAGCTGTGGACTTATTGCATTTGACCCAGGCCTCACTTTTTTCATCTGTATATAGGAATAACTACTCTGTTTACTTCCAACGGTTACTATAAGGACAAAAAAGAACGCCCGTGGCAGTGCTGTTTAAATAGAGAAATAGCATTTGCATGTACTGTAAGGGAATGATCTCTCTGAATTGTTGGTTATTTGTGTTTTTTCTTCTTTTTTATAACTAGAAATCATCTTCTTGCTACACAGCAATCTTCTAAAAATACTGAAATGAATTGATAATAAACTGATATTTTTTCCACACCTTAAACATCCTTCATCCTCAAAAGAGAACACAATTCCTCCTGCTCAAAGATCAAATGATTGTGGACTAGATTTGGAAAAAGTATATTAATAAAAACTGAAAAAACAGTGGGTAAGGCTGTGCAGTACATAAAATAATTTCTTGAAGATTTCTCGTCACTAAATTTTTATTCACCAGTATTCAGTGAAAATCATAAGATGATGTCTTCAGCTGTATTTGATTTTGTGACTCACTGCTAGAAACATGACATTTTGAATGAGTGTAATCAGAATAAAACTTTTTTATCTAAAACGTTTTTTCTAGGCTATTTTTGTCTAACAAATATTTTGGTGTTAGAATATATATGTAAGATGAAAAATAAAATTTTAAAGTATCTCAGGAATTATAATGATAAACAGTACAAACTCTAAATACTTTAGAGCTTGGGCCCTGGAAACAGGAAATGTGGATTTGAGTCTCAGCCCAGACAGTCACTATCTATTACGCTCTGATTCTGGGTAAACTACTCACCTCCCTGAATCCCCCACCCTGTCTTTCTTTCTTTCTTTTTTTTTTTATTAAATGATAGCTGTGTACATTAATGCAATCATGGGGTACAGTATGGTGTTTTCATATACAATTTGAAATATTTTCATCAAACTGGTTAACATAGCCTTTATGTCATTTTCTTAGTTGTTGTGTTAAGACGTTTATATTCTAAGATTAGCATATCAGAAAATCCCAAAACCAGAGATGCTGGCGTGGATGTGGAGAAAAGGGAATACTTCTACACTGCTGGTGGGAATGCAAACTACTATGTTCCTTTTGGAAAGACATCTGGAGAACACTTAGAGAACTAAAAATAGACCTGCCATTTGATCCTGCAATTCCTCTATTAGGTATATATCCAGAAGAGTGTCTTTCCAGTAAAGACACATTTCCATGAGTCTGTTTCTTACTTAAGTTACAGAGTTGCTGTGAGGATGACATTAAGTAACACCAGGGCCTAGCATGATACTTGACAGACACTTTATTCAGCTGTAGTAACACCACTACCTATCATCTCCTTTGCTCTTTACTGGTTTCAAATGCTTTTATTATGTAAGTTCCTACTCGATTCTCATAATAATTAAAACCATGAGAAACATCAAGCAAGGACTTTAATTCCTATTTCACATGTGAGGAGAAGTAGCCTTGAAAGAGACTCGTCCAAGGTTACAAAGCTAATTGAGGTTTCTTTTTCTTTACCCAAGGCCATCATGCCTCCACTCCTCCAAGTTCAGAAATGCTGGCTACGTGAATCCTTTCTCTGTTTTCAGGCACGTTTTGGAAAGCAAAAATACCTGACCCAAGTTCTGTCCGTTTCTAACGTTTACCTTATAAGCTACCTTTTGGACAGAAGCTGGTATAAAAAGAAAAAAAAGAGAAGAAAACAACATAAAAACTAATTTTGTAGCTGGTCTAGCAACTACAGAAAACAAGTACAGATAGAGACAGTAGCAATTTTTTTTCTTAAACATTGACTGTATTTTGAAATAAAGTTAGTCTATAGGGAAATACTAAAAATATGCACATATATCAGAATAAAACATGTATGAATATTTTTTATTAAATCATAGCTGTGTACATTAATACAGTCATGGGGTACAGTGTGCTGTCTTCATATACAATTTGAAATATTTTCATCAAACTGGTTAATACAGCCTTCATGTCATTTTCTTAGTTATTGTGTTAAGACATTTACATTCTACATTTAGAAAGATTCACATGTACCCTTATAAGATGAACCATAGGCGTGTAAAATTAAATTATGTATAATTAAAAATGAAAATTAAATTAATTAATTAAATTATGTATAATTAAAAATCAGGCTATCCTCTGGGAGGCTGAGGTAGGTGGATCTCGTGAGCTTAGGAGTTTGAGACCAGCCTGAGCAAGAGTGAGACCCTAGCTCTCCTAAAAATATAAAACTTAGCCTGTATTTCCAGCTACTTGGGAAGCTGGAGCAAGCATTTGAGGTTGCTGGGAGCTGTGACTCCACGGTACTCCACTGAGGGCAACAAAGTGAGACTCTGCCTCCAAATTAAAAAAAAAAAAAGAATCTAGCTATAAAGCCAAATTTCAGCTATGAAATTTAATTTAGAGTTCCCACTGAATTTTTACTAAGAAAATAAATATTTCTGGTCTATTAGCTCCAAATCTACTACAGGGCGTCAGTGAGAGAGGTAAGGGCTATGGTGGGTTCCAGGGTTAGAGGGTGGGAGAGAAGACACACCCGGAGGGCTCTGGGGTGCCTGGGTGGTAGTATAGTGGACACACTGTTTCATTACAAGATGGAGTGATTTATCTAGTCAGAACAGCGGCCAGTTAAAACTCCCTTAAGTGCAGGAAAATATTTACCTTCTGTTTCACAGTTTCTAAATCCTGAATTAATAGACATCCCTCCATAGGAGTGACTTTCCCCTTTTCTGTTTCTCTCTTTCCCTGGCAGACTTTCTCCTATTCAGTGTTATAATCACTAATGCCCATGAAACGCCCAGCCCTGGGCAGCTGAGCCTTTGTCTGACGGCGACGGGCCAGCCTGGGAGAATCTACCTGGTGGAGGCACTGACTGGTCCCTTCTGATTACTGCACCCTCCTCTGTCTTTCTGGTGAAGACATATTTCCTTATTTGGGGGCTGCAACTGGGGAAACCATCTGTAAATAGTTTGTTTACTGATGGTGTCCCTGGGCACATTATTTTACTTACCAAAATAAGCTGGGAAATGAGGTCCTCTGGGGGGAGGGAGCCTTACAACTATGTTAAATGATAGTGACAAATAATTTTCAAGTGATCTACTGAAAACTAGAGACACTTACTCTGCCATTAATTTCCGAACTCTATTGGCAAAAAGGACAGGATCATCTTTTTCTTCATCACTTGGAACTTGAACAGGCATAAACTGAAAGACAAAAATAAACCTTTCTGTAATGATCCTTAGGCCTAAGATATTAAGTGCTGGATAAATTTCTATAAATTCTCAACATGTTACATTCCCTTCCTTCTTAGAGCACAGGTCCATGACGTAAGAGACAGAACAATGGACTCACGCTCAGGAGTTCCCCGTCCAACCCCTGCTCCGCCTGTGTGTTAACTACCATGTCCTTTCACCTTGTGACCTGCCTCTTCAACACTAAAAATAAGACTATGATCATTCATTTCCCCAGTTGTTGTGAAATGAGCCAATGTTCAGAATTCTAGAAGTTCTAAAACTGTAGCTACTACGATCTTGCTCTTAGCTGCATCTTCTACCGCTCACACTCCTTTATATGAAAATGTTTTAATTTCCTTTATTTTTTTATTTTTGTTTTTTCCTTTCTTTTTAAAAATAGTTCATCTTCTCAATCCATTCAACATCGACTATATTTTTATTATTTGATTGAATTTTATGTTTTGTTATTTCTTCTGCCTTTTAAAAACCCTTGGTACTACCTTTCTAGCTTTTGGCTTAACATCTTTTTTTTTGCTTTGTCTTTTTTAGTTTTATTTTTTTTCCTCCACTTGTGATGCCTTGTTTATTCTGTCTCCGTTTGTATCTATGGTTTGCTAACATTAACAAGGTTTTGGTGTCATATTCAACTCATTACATACTTTTTAAAGCACCTACTATATAGCAAATAGGATTAATAGGACCCTATTCCTGCTCTAAAGAAGATCCTTTTCTTAGTAGGAAAGACCAACATAAAAATAATCTCATATGCTGAGGATCCGAGTACAGATGGGGCTTAACAGCTGAATTAACCTATTCAAAATCATGCAATGTTTGTCAAATTAAAGAAACTTTATTTTTGGGCGGTGCCTGTGGCTCAAAGGAGTAGGGCACCAGCCCCATATGCTGGAGTGGCAGGTTCAAACCCAGCCCCGGCCAAAAACTGTAAAAAAACCCCCAAAACAAAACAACTTTATTTTCCCCACTAAAACATACTTTCTGGAGTATAAGAGTGATGAACAGGGAATGATTAACTTTGCCAGGGGGCAGGGAAATGCAACCAATGGGGGGAGGTGGTACCCGTGGAGAAGGAGTTCTACAGAAAAGCTAATACTTGACCTTGTATTTTTAAGGTGAAGTGTGATTTTGCCAATTGCTAATGTCTACTGAGTTGTAACTATAAACCAAGTACCATGCAGCACCCTGCTAGGGGCTCATGTGCATTACTTTATTAACTCTTCCTCCATTTTTGTCGTAGGAATTGGGGTTCACAAAGATTAAATGACTTGCTCAAAGTTTCACGGCTAAATTCTGTTCAACAATTACTTAGGTCCCTGTTATGAGTCAGGCACGACACCAAGCCCTCAAGATACAACAGAAAAGTCCCTGCCCCCAAGAAGTTCTCCAGGCAGTAGGGTAGAAATTTATGATATAAGGAACCAAATTACACCAATAAACCTGGATCAGCACCCGTAGCACAGGGGTTATGGCCCCGGCCACGTACACCGAGGGTGGCAGGTTTGTAATCCAGCCTGGGTCAGCTAGACAACAATGACAACTGCAACAACAGCGACAAAAATAGCTGGGGGTTATGGCGGGCACAGTTACTTAAGAGGCTGAGGCAAGAGAATCACTTAAGCTCAAGATTTTGAGGTTGTTGTGAGCTGTAATGCCATGGCACTCTACCGAGGGTAACATAGTGAGACTCTGTCGCCAAAAAAAAAAAAAAAGAGCTACCATCCTTTACTGGCCAACTGTGTGTTGATGCTTTACATGAGGGGCTTCATATGATTAACTCTATAATCTGGGTGTGTCCAACCTTTTGGCTTCTCAGGGCCACACTGGAAGCAGAGCTGTTTTAGGCCACACATTACACAAACACTAACAAAACCTGATGTGCAAAAAAAAAAAAGTCTGTGCATAATTTGCACGACATCCACCATCACAGACAAGCAAAAGAATCCCCACATTATGATCCTAATTATGCAGCAGCCTGTTCCGAGAGGGTTTTAAAATCATCAAGCAGGTTCCAAGTTCACAATCAGTAATATGTAGTACAGAAAATATGTATTTCTAAGTAATAAAATATCTGGGTTTTTTTGATATTTTTTATTATAAAAGAAAAGTGGGCAACATAAAACTAGTGGGATATCTGACATTACATTGTATTTAAGAAACTAATGCATCAATCTCTGGTTCCATGGAAGTAATTGTAACTCTCAGTGAGTTCTCAAGGCGCTCATCATATATTCTGGTTCTAATTGTGCTCTTCAATGTGCTTCATTCTTGAAAATAGTTGCTCGCAGACGTAGGTCCTGCTAAAAAGCGGTAAGACGTGACTGTGAGGTGGGCGTGTCTGTGAGGTGGGCGTGTCTGTGAGGTGGGCGTGACTGTCTCCGGGAAGATCCGACTTAGAAAAGTCCGGCAAAGAGACAGGATCAAAGTTTTCTTTAAGCTGAATGTCAGATTGTAGCTCTACGCATTCTGTTTGAAAATTGGCAGGTGACATATTTCTGACTGAATATGGAGTCACAAACGCAATCCTGGAAATCTTGAAATCTACTTTCAAATTCTTGTATTAAACTGAAAAGCAAGGCTGTGTATTTTTTTTTTGGTGTTCACAGAACTGTGTTCAGCTGACATGTCAAAATGCATAAAATCGTTTGCCTTAATTTGAGCTTGTCATGATTTCATTTTTATTTGGAATGCTACTAAGGTCTGAAGCATTGTATTAAGTTGGTTTTCACCGTGAAGACACATGTTTAACTCATTTAAAGGAGTGGTTACATCCCCTAAAAATGCTAAATCTGCAAGCCAGTTAGAATCATCAAATTCTGGCACAAATTTGGTTTTCAATAACAAGACACAGTAACATGTTACAAATCATAAAAGGTTTTCCACATTTGGCCTCAGCTTAGTGATCTTACGTTCAAAAAGTAAATGGTATTACTATAGTCAACATCAATGCTTTTAAGGAATTCCTGGAATTGAAAATGATTCAACTCCTTGGCCCTTATAAAATTCATAGTCTTGATGACAATTGGCATGACATTATCCATTTTTATAGCTTTTGCACATAAATTATCTTTTTTTTTTTTTTTGAGACA